TTCATTTGGACCAGTGTATTAGGCCATTCTTATGTTGCTATGAAGAAATACCTGAGACTGGGTAATTTATATATATATTTGTAAAAGAGGTTTAAATGAGAACACATGGACACAGGGAAGGGAACACCACACATTGAGGCTTGTCAAGGGAGGGCGGGGGTCAGGGGAGAGCAACAGGAAAAATACCTAATGCATTGTAGGTTTAATACCTAGGTGATTGGTCGATATGTGCAGCAAACCACCATGGCACACGTTTACATATGTAACAAACCTGCACATCCTGCACATGTACCCTGGAACTTAAAATAATTTTTTAAAAAAGAAAAGAGGTTTAATTAACTCACAGTTCTACATGGCTGGAGAGGCCTCAGGAAACTTACAATCATGGCAGAAGGCACCTCTTCACAGGGCAGCAGGAGAGAGAATGAGAGCCAGCAGGGGAAATGCCAGATACTTATAAATCCATCAGATCTCATGAGAACTCACTCACTGTCACAAGAACAGCATGGGTGGGGGAACCGCCCCCATAATTCAATTACCTCCCACCAGGTCCTTCTCATGACATGTGAGGATTATGTCAACTACAATTCAAGATGAGATTTGGGTGGGGACACAGCTATACCATATCAACCAGATTGGTATAAACCAGCCAGCACATGGACAAATGGGCTCTAACATATCACTCTGTCCTAGTGTTCTAACATAAAATTTCATCCATGCATTGTAAGAGGGAGAATAGCAACCATTGCATATGAAGCTTATATTCAAGAATAGTAACTGCTTAGGAATTTTTTGAAAATTTGAAATAACAATAATGATATATGGAAAGTGCTTCACAGTTTGTTGTGCAAATCTTGCATCAAAAAGTATAGAAACAGCTAGAGGTTCCAAAGTCTGTCTTGTCCATCTTTCACCAAGGTTCAACCTCTTCTGCTGAGTATCTTTGGTTCCCCTAATGCCTCTATAGTCTGGGAGTGGGAATGAGGAGTGTAAGTTAGTCCTGTCTCATGCTGTCCTATCCCATACTCTGTCTACTGCAGAGGCTTCTGGAGTACTAACAGGCTGTGGGCCCAGAAGCACATAAAGGGAGCGTTTAACAGGAAGTTTGTGTGGAAAATTCTTCAGGATGGGCTGCCCACTCAACAGGTTATTAAGCAGAGGGGCTCCCATCAAAGTGTGCAGGGCCATTTGCATAGTACTGAAAAAACATTTAAAGTTCTGCATTGAGCTTTTGAAAGGTTGCTACAAGAATCATCATGAATTTCGTACCCACAGTTGATATAAGGAGGAAAACGGGTGGTATTTTTGCTAATCCTAAAGGAAACTGAAAAGTTTTAATATGGATTGAACTAATTATAACAACGACGGTGAAGTCTTAAATATTACACTAGTAAATTTCTTATAATAAATATATAGTGAGTATATGCTATTTCCTCTGACAACAGTGAACAGCTGTTCTATTACTCCGGTTAAAGGCTCTGTAAAAGTCGCACATCAGAGTTAAAGGAAAATCTCTCAGGCAGCACCTTTTCTACACACTATTCAGTTTTATAGTAACAGGTGTTTATGTTTGTAGACTCTTCTAGGTCTTTGTTATAAATCCCACACAACATTGTTAATTTTTTTGTTTAAATAGCCAATTATCTTTTTTTAAGATGTAGATAATAAATAAATAAAATATTCAATGCTTACCCACATGATTTTTTTCTTTCAATACCCTAAAGATGTTACTCAACTGTCTTCTTACTTGGATTATTTCCAAGGAGAAATCTGCCATCCTTATCTTTTTTAACTCTATATTTAATGTTCCTTTTCTCTGGTTGATTTTAAGGATTTTTATAAAAAGTCATTGGTGTTGGGTAATTTTTCTTTCTTTTGCTTTTGTTTTTCTGTTTGTTTGTGTTTTTGAGACAGAGACTTGCTCTGTCACCCAAGCTGGAGTGGAGTGACACAATCTCAGCTTACTGCAACCTCCACCTCCCGGGTTCAAGCGATTCTCTTGCCTCAGCCTCCCAAGTAGCTGGGATTACAGGCATGTGCCACCATGCCGGCTAATTTTTGTATTTTTAGTAGAGACGGGGTTTCACCACGTTGGCCAGGCTGACCTTGAACTCCTGACCTCAGGTCATCTGCCTGCCTCGGCCTCCCGAAGTGCTGAGATTACAAGAGTGAGCCACTGCACCTGGCTAGTAATTTGATTTTTATGTGCTTTAGTGTAGTTTTCCTCATATTTCTGGTGCTTGGAGTTAGTTGGACTTTGTGAAACAAACTTTTCTTTGAAATATTTCTTCAAAGGCTCCCCCTCCTCTTTGGGGTTTTTCAATTACCTATACCTGAGGCTACTTGGACTTGTCTCATCGCTTGCTGATGTATTTTCGTTTTAAAAATTATTTTCTTTTTCTAAATCTCTATGTTTCATTTGGGATAGCTTCTTACGACCATGTCTTCATGTCACTAATCTTTTCTTCTGCAATCTCTAATCTGCTACATATATCCATTATAAATTTTACTGGAGACTTTGTTGTTTTCATCTCTAGAAGTTCAATTTGGGTTTTTTAAAAAATATCTTGCATATCTCCACTTAGCATAGGTCATCTTTCTCTAGCTTCTTGAACATATGGTATATAGTTTTAATAAATGTTTTAATACTCTTTCTCAATTGATAATTCTAAGATCTGCATTAGTAATAGGGTGGTTTCAATTGATTGATTTTTTTCTCCTCATAATGGATCATATGTTCCAGCTTCTTTGCACACTTGATATTTTTTAATATATGCCAGACATTTGGATTTTACCATATAGGTAAAATATGTTAGACCATATAGGTGGTAGATAGTACTATATTCCCATAAATATTCTTTTGCTTATATCTTGGACACAATTAAGTTACTTGGAAACAGTTTAATTCTTTCAGGTCTTGCTTTTAAGGCTCGTTGGGTGGGACCAGAGCAGTGGTCATTCTAAGGCTAATTATTTCTTACTCCTGAAGCAAAACACTTCTGAGTATTCTACCCCTCAATGTCCTGTGAAATAGGAGGTTTTGCGTCTGGCTGGTGGGCGCATTCCCTATTCCAGGCTCTGGATGAGTACTGGGCAGTGTTTCCCCTGATCCTTTCTGATGGTTCTCTTCCCAGCGTTTGGTGGTTTTTCACATGCATGAGCTCATCAGTACTCAGCTGAATACTCAAGGGAGACTCTCTTAGAGTTCTCTCTGTGTGCAGCTTCTTCTTCTCCTCTATGTGCCATTTGAACTCTAGCTGGCTCAGTCTTTTTGGACTCCTAGCTCTGTTTCCTCAGCTTCATATGTCTGCCAGGCTCAGCCTGGGTTCCCCCTTCTCATGCCAAGAGCTGTAAACTCTCTCAAAGCACTAAGCTGGGTAACAATAGGGTTTACATCACATCACTTATTCCTGTTTCTCAAGGACTGCTGTCTATAACTGTCTGAAGTCCACTGTCTTGAAAACAATTTTTTTTTTTAACATATCTTGTCTAGTTTTTCAGTTGGTTCGGGCAGGAGGAAAAATCTAGTCCCTATTACTACAGCTTTCCAGAAGCAGGAGTCTCATTTAGATCTATGACTTGCAAATATTTTCTATTTTTTTTTTACCCTTAACTATGTAACAAGAGGCAATGGCGAGGCCAAAGATAAGCATTCTCAAAATTTTGCTCAAAGTTTCTCAATCTCTCTAGGATTGAGCTATTTTAAAATGTATGCCCTCTGATTTTTAGCTTTTAGTTAGGTTTGAGGCTGAATTAAAGAATATGGAGTTTATAATGTTTAATTATACAAAATTGAGCTGTTATTTTCTCTTGACTTTGGCCTCAGGCTGAGCTAGCTGGGGTTTGGGCTGGGTCGACCACCTGTGGGACTGTCTCCACTTGCTGTCTTTGCTCAGACACATGGACCGTTAAGGATCTTGGGGATTGTTGCCCAAAGGGAGAAGAATGATGCTGCTCTTGTGAGTGGAACTGTCCTTCAAGGTGAGGTCCAGCAGAGATCTAAGCAGAGGCTAGGATCATTTCCCTCCCTTGAACTCTTCTTCAGCGGTTGTTCAAGCAAAGGCAAATCCCCTATTTATCACTTAGGTACCAAATACTCAAGCATTATATCTAAGGACAATGAACTGTTTCCTTTTCATTCACTTCCCAAACACATAACCAATCTTCTCCTAGGACAGACAAGGCTCCTCCCTCTGCTCCTTGTATTCTGAGGAGGCCACCTTGCAACCCCCCTCCTCCTGAGAGACTACCTATTAGAGCCTATACTGTGTTATAACTGAAAGCATTTCTCATTAAAGAAGAGAAAAAAAAATTCCATAATTTAATCTTTAGCATGGAGACACTCTGGTAGCCAGCTGTTTCCCCCACAATATGTAACTTAATATTTACGTAAGAATCTGCAGATAGATTTAACATTTCATGGATGCTCCTGTTTACAAAGTCATAACCTGCCCACATGTGACTTTGCCCTTTCTCTGCATGTCCCAGCCTCTCCTGGTGACAAGAGCAGTGATCTAAAACACGAGCACAAACTTGTAGTCATAGAAATAGTATAGCTGCAGCTAGCAAAGGGTCCTTATCCAAATTTTAGTAAAAAGAACAAGAATATATATATATACACACACAAATATATAAAATGTGGTCTTTTATTATTTTATTAGTATGGCATTTAAGGCATATGTGTTTCCTTCTGGATTTTCTTTCCCTTAGTAAAGATTCATCTCACAACCATATTGTTATTTGGTTTTGAGAGACATTAGTTTCTCTTCCTTCGTTTCATGTTTTATTCTTTGTATCAGGAAACCAGTGATGCAATTTTATGTGAGCTCTCTGACAATTGAGAAAAATACATCCTTGGAATTCCCTCATTTGTTTTTTCTTCCACACAGTGGGCATTTCTGCAGGATCCATGGTGTGTCAGGCACCTAGAGGGGTTGATCCCAGTCCTGCTGGCCGCATGTTTTCCCTTTAATAACCTAAAGACCTTTTTCCTTCTGCAGGTGCCAGGGTGGACAGAGCAAATAGCTGCCAGTCTGACAGCAGTGGGTTCCTGGAGGAGCCACTGGAACCGCTGCCCCTCCAGGTAGGAGGGTTTGGAACAGGGCCATGTTGCTCATCCCTCACATCCCACTTCAGCCCTATCAACCAGGCTGCCACCCAAACCTCACTCACAGCTAACTCAGAAAGAGGGGTGTTTTAAATCAAGCCACAGTTGGAAAGCCTGAGAAGGCACAAACCACCTGCACCCAAGGGGCAGGGGAAGATGGAGTCATATTAGACAAGGTGCCAGAAAGTGTGGCCTTCCTTTCCTTTTGATTTTCTAAGCGAGGAAGCTGAGCCCCCTAGAGAAGAGGACCTTGGTAAAGTGATAAACAGATGCAAAACCTAATGTTGCAACCCTTATCTCCTGACTCCTAAGTCAATGGCAATGACAAGAAGAAAATCTCACCTTAAACCTGTTGCCTCCTCCACTTCCTGACCTGTTTCCCTTTGTCCTGGTTTCCTCTACAGATGCCTTCCTTGCCAAGCAGCCAGAGTCCTGCTAAGAATGGAGGTAGAAAACCAAGAGATCAGAGTCACAGCATAGGATCATCCCAGGACTGTCAACTAGAGTCAGATGGGCCAGATTCCAAGAGTAGGGCAAGTGCATCTTTTTCAAGCCAAGACACGAGTGCCTTGGAAGAAAAGGCCTCAGCATCTGTGGTGGAGGAAGAGTTTCTGCTTGAGGCCATGGAGGAGCCACCAGAGCTGTATATCCCAGACATGGCCTGTGCCAAGACCACCATGAGGGGAGAACACCCAAGGAAAGACAGCCATCTGTGGCAGCTTCTGCCAATGTCCCACAATGAATATGAGGTTACTGGATCCACAGCCACTTCCAAATATGATCATCCTCTGGGGTTTATGATAACCCACATCACAGAAATGCAGGACAGTTTTCTGAGGCCTGAGGGGGCTGGCGAAGTGCAAAGCCACCACTATGAGTCTCAGAGATCACCTGGAAATGATCATACTCAAGACAAGTTCCTTCATGTTGACTCTGAGGCCCCAAGAGAAGAGGAAAGCAGTGGACTCTGTCCTGACACCAACCACAGCTTACTGGCACCAGAAAGCTCATCACAGTGTATCCCCAAGCACAGTGAAATCATACCTTATGCAACTGACCTTGCTCAAAAATCTGAAAAGCCCATTCTCCACCTCCATAAACTGCCTGGAGATCCTGCCCAGGTGAAGTCAAGGTCTTGTACTTTGGGTCAGATACTACCTAGGCCAGAAGCTGAGATGGAAAACCTTCCTCTAAATACTGGCAGCTCCAGGTCTGTAATGACCCAGATGTCCTCCAACCTGGTGTCAACTGCTCAGGGTGCTGTGTCCTTGGGGACTTGTCCCAGAGGAACATCTTTAGAATGCACTATGTGTGATCCTGTTACCACAACAGAACCAAGACTGGGGACAGAAGCAAGACAGTACAATGATGCTTCCATTCAGACTTTTGTATGTGAGCCCAGGCCCTGGCATTTCTGTTCAGTTCCAAGCAACAAGGCCTTGACACATGGGCCCCAGCCCCTTACCAAATCCGTCTCTCTAGACTCAGGCTTCCCTAGTATCTGCCCATTGGGCACCTGCCATGCTATACCCGCCCACTGCTGCATCTGCTGTCATCACCACTCCCACTGCCACTGGAAGAGGCAAAGCCCTGGCCTTGAACCTTCAGTCTGCAGGCACTCCCTCTGCTCACTCACTGGTCACCGGGAAGCCCAGTTCATGACGACTTTGAAAGCCCTTCAGGACACTACAGTGAGGGAGCTATGTTCCGTAAGTGTTCACCCTTGCAAAGATGGAAAGGCAAATGCACCCATGATAAACACCTCAGGGATAATGTTCATACTTCCTTGCTGAATGCAAGATCTCAGGGCAAATGTTTCTATTTTAAATCATGAATAACATTTGTAGAGTACTTTATTGTTTATGATACAGTATCACACATTTCTTCTTGATACTTCCAATCAATCACCTTTAGAAATAAGCAAAGCAAATTTTATTATTAATCTTCATTTTACAGGCAGGAAAACTGAGGAGTAGAACCATACATTCATATGTCTAAGGTTATAAGCATTAACACATCTGTAACTCATCTCCAGTTCTAGCTGAGAAGTTCTGTGTCTTAAATTTGTTTAGCTGTATAATCTTGCACAAGCCATTTAATATTTTTGTAAAATATTTTGTAAAAATATTTTTTTTTCTTTTTTCTTTTCTTTTCTTTTTTTTTTTTTTTTTTTTTTTTTTTGAGACGGAGTCTCGCTTTGTCGCCCAGGCTGGAGTGCAGTGGCCGGATCTCAGCTCACTGCAAGCTCCGCCTCCCGGGTTCACGCCATTCTCCTGCCTCAGCCTCCCGAGTAGCTGGGACTACAGGCGCCCGCCACCTCGCCCGGCTAGTTTTTTGTGTTTTTTAGTAGAGACGGGGTTTCACCCTGTTAGCCAGGATGGTCTTGATCTCCTGACCTCATGATCCGCCCGTCTCGGCCTCTCAAAGTGCTGGGATTACAGGCTTGAACCACCGCGCCCGGCCCAAAATATTTTTGTAAAACTGACACAGGATGGTTTTAGGATTAAATAAGATGAACCCTGTAAACCACTCAGCTCAGCATGTGGCACATGGAAAGCTCTAGGTAATGTTAATTGTGTGGGTATGTTACTCTTATAATCAATTTTTGTGACTGTTTTGCATTGTTCAGGTCTTGAACTTAGAGCTTCTCATGTCAAATAGAGAGGCTTTTGGTCACCTTTGCTGAATCTATTGAAAGGTGGACCCTACGGTTACTGAGGACTAAATGGCTCCAGCCTTCTCTAGCCCTTGATTCATCAGTAAGTGTTTAATGAGCCCTTCCAGTTTCTCCTTTTTAGCAAGTTTTCAAGGCAAGAGATGATCTAGGCTTTCAAGGTCAGCCATTGATTAAAAAATTAAGACTATTGCACATAAAACCACTTGTATAGTGAGTTGAAAAGGTGAGGGGGCTCGCACAGAGAACGTAGGTAGAACAGGGTGAAGTGGAACCATGATTTACTGAGCGCCTACTGTTTGGTGCCTGCAGTTACCTTGCCATTCTCTTAATTCCACAAATATTCAGTGAGTGCCTATGCTGACCATTTTCCATTATGTCATTTAATCTTCATTTTAATCCATTCCATAAATATTTGTTGGGCTCCTAATATATGCCAGGTCCTTCTTCTTTTACAGACAAGAAAACTAGAACTGAGAGAGTTTAAATAATTATCTCAATGCCTCCTAATGAATAAGTGGGAAGTCCAAATTCAAATTCAATTTGAGTAACAGTAAATTGCTTGACACTACAGTCCAAGCAAAGAAGTGACTTTAAAATATCTAAATCTATATAAGTGTAAAATTAACATTACAAAGTGATTATTTGAAAGATAAAACAAATTACTACTTGGCCTTTCAACGTATGAAAATTGCCTTACATAAATGTGATATAAAGAAAGTGATTATAGGAAAGTTTAAATAATTTATCAGATCATTTTTTAATTGCAAGACTCCCAGGCATTTGGAATATTTTTATATGAACCTAATATTAGTCAGAGTTGAACAGGTAAGAGAAAGCTTCATTTAGGCATAGTGCTCAGTACTAGATATATTCTCCAAAAGTTCACTGGAAGAAAAGAACAAAACCTAATGTATGCTGTGTCCTTCTTGAGTATCAAAAGACCTTGGTTCAAGTCCTGGATAACAGTAGGGTCGTCATCACCATAACTATCACCATCACCACCCACCACCACCATCATCATTATTATCGTCATTATTTACATCATTTGTTGAGGGGATTTTAAATGCCCTAAGTAAGTGATTTTCAACTGGGGATAATTTCCCACCCCTGAACTGCCAGATGACATTTCACGATGTTTTGAAACATTTTTAGTTGCCACAATGGGAGGCGGGTGGTTGCAACTGGCAACGAGCGGGTAGAGGCCAGGAATGCTGAAAAACATCCTAAAATACACAGAACAGCCACCACAACAATGAATTCTTTGGCCCAAAATGTCAATAGTGTCAAGGCTGTAAAACTGAGCTCTAAGAGAATAAACATTTACTCGATCACATAGTTTGTAAGGGAAAAATGTTAGGATGAAAGATAGCTGGAGAAGGTGACATTTTGAGAGGCCATATGGGGAAAAATATTAAATCCTAGAATTAGGTACTCCAGTTTCCACAAAGAAAGACTAGTTGTTGGTCTAACATAGGAATGCATATCCTGAAGAAAGATTATTTTTCTAATTTACATTTAAGACAAGCATTACAAAGATTTTAAGTCATATTTAGTTTTATATTTTGTTAAAAATAACAAAATTGTGTTCAAAACTCCAGAAGAAATGGTTCTTCTAGACATATCCAATTTCATTCTTTTAGTGTAAATGCTATAGATGTTTATTCCACAATAAGATATTATCTAAATTTTGTTTACATCACCACTCTTAAAAACAATATAAATAATTTATTGATTGTGTTCAGAAGACAAATAACAAACATATATTCATAGACTAAGAAGTGAGACATCTATTGCATCAAATTGTCTTTGGGATGTACTATCACTTAATTTATTCCTTAGTATTATAATTAGGTATCTATGGCAACAGCTGTATCTTGAACAATAAAAGCTATATCTTGAAAAAAGAAAAATGGCTAACACAGCCTCCCATGACACAAACTGAAAACACGACCTACCTAATGAGGTTCTTTCATATAGCTGGGGTGCCTGGGACAAATCAGTGCAAATAAAAGAGGTACCAGGGTTGAGAGTGGCTCAAAAGTGGTTCTGACTACAGGTGCCAGAGGGTGTGTAATCTATCAGGCAAACCACAGCATCCAGAGACCATGACTAGTCAGTAGCACAGCCCAGTAAGACCATTAGTGTAAAAGGTTTGAGAGTCTGTGAGGTATTGGGGGTGTCCTGATGAATTTGCAGAAGCACGGTTCTGGGGATTGAAAGTGCGAGTGGGCATCTAGCACCTCGGAGCAGATTCGCAGGTAGAAGGATTGCAGCTTCTCAGAGGAAGGTAGGCTGGAAAGAGTAAGAGGTGGCCCTGGGGAAACAGGCACAGGAAGCTACAGCCAGATTCATCATGGTAAGGACATTATTTAGAATAGGAGCAGAAGATTAAACTTGGGCCAGCTCCAGGGTGACCAAGTGTGGACCCAGGTCTTCTTATTCCTCCTGCCTAGTGTCAAAAGAGGGCTTTGGGTATAAGTAGCCCCAGCTGTGTGGAGAGATTTGGCAGCTGGAAATAGATGTTCCTCCTGATTTGACACTTTGGCATATCAACACTTCTGCAGAAAACAGGGAGGTTTCGTGGCCCATTATGCTCAGTAACTATCCTCAGACGTGGGTAGATTTTAAACAAGTAGGAGTTTGAATGGGTGTGAGGGCCACCATCCAAAGGCTTCTAATGCCTTGTCTCCTATTGCGTTCACCTTCTTTCCTCTTAGAATTTGCAATTATACAAAAAAAGGTACTTTTATATCCAGTTGATTTGGCATCATACACCTGCTGAAATGGATGCTATATAAGGTTTTACCAGATGACAATGAATTTCCCTTTATTTACATCCAAAGAAACAGAAAAATACACTCAAAGGAAACAATTCAAACATACATGCGTATACGTGTGCATATTTATACTTCTATGCAGGCATCCATATGTGCACAGACACATGTGCTGGAAAGCAAGTAGAAATAGGGGATTGCATTCCTCCATAAGAGGAGACCGCTTAAAGACATTTAAAGCACAAAGAGAACAAGATATTGCATGCAGCAGCATCTACTATGAGTGAGCCTGGGTTTGTAAGGCCTGAAAAATGTTCCGAAGAAAATTGGCTTTAAATTAGATGCCAAGTGCTAGACATGACTAGAAAATTTATTTATGAAAATATTAACAGGAAATAGCTCTTGAACCAAGTGAAGATTATAAGCAGAGATGGACATCTCTTAGAAGACAATGGGAGGCCAGGCATGTTGGCTCACACCTGTAATCCCAACACTTTGGGGGACTGAGGTGGGTGGATCACCCGAGGTTAGGACTTCAAGAACAGCCTAGTCAACATGGCAAACACCATCTCCATTAAAAATACACACACACACACAAAAATAGCTGGGTGTGGTGGTGTGTGCCTATAATCCCAGCTACTCAGAAGGCTGAGGCAAGAGAATTACTTGAACCCATGAGGCAGAGGCTGCAGTGAGGCAAGATCATGCCACTGCACTCCAGCCTGGGCAACAGAGTGAGTCTCCTTCTCCAAAGAAAAAAAAAAAAAAAAAAAGAATGAAGAAGACAACAATGGGAGTTCTGAGCAGATGTTGAAACTAAGAGCAATTTTACGTAAAGGACTTGAAGACTCAAAAACATCCTTATCTTACCCCCCTAATATAGCAATAGCAATATATAACACTGTAGAGAAACATTTGACTAATTGATAAATGCCATTTTTCTGGCCTCTTTGGGTTTTCTAGGGTAATGATTTGTTGATGTTGATATAATTAAATTTTCATATATAAGTGAGTTCTTTGCAATAATTTGTTAATTTAAAAAAATGGTTTTTTGGTATAACTAAATTGTTATATATAGGTAAATTCTTCAGGATAATTTGTTAATTTTAAAAAGTGTTAATTCAAAAAAAATTCCAGAAAATAAAATGAGATCTATCAGAAAAAAGATTTCTGAATTTTAGAAGTACTTCCATATGTTTATGATTTAGTTTTAGAGAAAAATAAAGGTATACAAATAAGGAAAAGTAATATGAGCATATTGGAAGTGAAAATTCATTGTCTTTTGGTGATGGTGCTCTTACCATTGAAGTTAAAGTTTGTTTCAATGGGTTTGGGTCAGTAGAGCAGAACTTGCATTTGGCATTTAGGTTATAATCAAGCCTTTATATTGTAAGAAAAAGAAGAAAGAAGAAGAAGGAGGAGGAGGAGGAAGAGGAGGAGGAGGAGGAGGGGGAGGAAACATTCAAAACATTCTGTTTTTGAGGAGTTTATTTATTTTTCTTACCTACAGTTTTCTTTATTATGAAATCATTTCTATACTTATTCTAGGGCTAAAATGTTTTTTTCGATATTTCCAAATGACCAGAAGATGGCACCGTTTCAGAATCTTCCTCATCCCTCCCTTCTCAGAGAACAAACACTCCATCAGTTATTCCCAAACCCAAGCACCCCAATCTTACGCCTTTCAATCACAAAAGGCTGCCCCAAAATAACTAGATGAGCATAAAATTCAGTGTTTATGATGTTCAGCCTATTTGAGCACCACACTTCCATGACCCTGGCGTCACTGTCCCTAGAACTTTGAAGTGAATTTGAACCAGTTGGGAAGTCTTGGTTACCTGATAGGAAGCTACTAGAACCACTCAAACAGCCTGCCGCTAAGGGACAAGCAACTTATCCTTGTGTTCAACTATACTGTGGTCCCTGCTGTGACTCAGATCTTAGAAGAAAAGAAATGAACCAAGAGACTTGGGTTTGAAATCTAAGTGCTACTTTTTGACCACAGACAAGTTAACTAGCCATTCTATGTCAGAACATGTATCTATAACAGATGCCCTTCGTGGTCTCCAAGATCTTTTCTGGTCTTAAGAGCCATAATCTAGCATTCCTGCCAACATCAGTATCGCTTCAGAGATCCCCTAACTGGTTCAAATTCACTCACATTGATGCAAGAGTAATTGGGGAGCTTTACTATGCAAAATATGTTATTCAGTATAAAAATTAGAGGATAGAATCAAAACCAAACTCCCAAAACAAAATATGGAGAGTTTTCAATATAAAAACATTACTCTTAGGAAAGTATTTTCATTATGACAATTCCGGTAAAAATAGCCATCAGGCTGCCAGGATGTTGGCCATGTGGTTTAGAGAGGAAAGGTAAGAAATCTGGGACTTCCTAGAAACAGGGCTAGAGGAGTCCACCTAGCTGTAAGGTTGGTCTCCATGGAAGGAGGAAGAAGAGAAGGTTAAAAAGAGCCAGGATGCAAAATCAGTTTCCTTTAAAGAACATCACAGAAGCCCCACAGCATGTTCTCTGTTCCCATCTCATTGGCCATTGTCTCTGCAAGGAGTGCTGGGAAATACATATTTTTTTAGCTAGACACATGGCTGCCTCTAAAGTATTCTTGTTAACAAGAATAAAGGGAAAGATTGTGAGTAGTCAACTAGCAGCCTCTGCTGAGCTGATTTTAGGAAGGGGTCCAAGCCTGTGGGTCGGACAGAGATGGCTTTAGGGCCCAACAAGCATTAATATTACTCAAATTCAGATGGTTAGTGGCCCTGGAGTTCTGGGTCATGGATTTCAAAGCATGATCCAACCCAGGATGCAAAACAAAGGGGATAGCTGGTAAGAACTCAGCAAGTCATCAGAGTGCCAGCAAATGGACTGGGCTTGGAGGTGCCAAAGGTAAATAGCTTTAGTTAAAGCCATGAAAACAGATTGTGTTCAGTAACTACTGACAGTAGGGGAAAGAGCTGAGCTCCACTTCAATTTGTGCAGAGGTGATTTGGGTATTCTAAAGAGAGAATAAGGGAGGGTGGAGAGTAGGGACTCAGTAGAGCCAGAAAAGTGAAAAATCACAAAGAATTGGTCCATGTCAGTGCCATTAGACCAGCTGTGTTTGTGAGCCAGCAGTAACTGAAGTTAGGATTCTGCCCTCCAAGAGACTGGGGACAGAGGCCCAAACCTTCCAGATGATTACATTTCAAAGGAATAGCTCTCAGGTCCTTGAGAGAGATGCTTGTGAGTTGTAAGAAATACATATTTACAATTATAATCAACTTTTAATAAATCCTCTCAGAAAGGGCCTATGTCAGGAGTTGGCAAAAGCAAACAGTAAATTTTCCTGGCAGCCTTCAGATTTCTCAGACAGCCTTTTTCATGGGGAATGGGGAGGCTGAGGTAATCCCAGGGACACAGCCCTGGTCTGCTGGAGCCAGACTGGAGGGTGGTCAAGTCTGTTAGTGGAGAGTTCCGAAGTTCTCAGGGGCTGCAGGAATATATTTAAATTAGAAAACCAAGGCAAAGGCACAGCCTGAGAGAGAAAGTCAGATTTAAAGGATGACTACATCGGCAGCAATGGGAAGGATTAAAAGGGTAGACGGAGTTCAATTCTAGACTCCAACTCCTGGAGATGACAGGATGCCCAACCTTTGCCTGCCTTCCTCAGGGTGGGCTTGTTCGGTGGATGAAGCTGATCCTGCAGATTCCAACATCCAGGACTGTGACTAAGCAGGACTAAGACTAATAAAAATTATTCTAAGCAGATTTTCTTTAATCAAACACATACCAGCTGAACAGATGTGTTCAATGTTATTGATACTCAGAGTGAGGCAGTAGCCAGCACCAAAATTAAACAAGATTAAACAGACTCAACTTCTCACAAACCCTTATGCTGGCCCTTCCCCTCCTCTCTTCTACCTACATCCTTGCATCCCTACATCACCTAGGCCTCCAGAATGCCTTCCAGCCTCTGGGACATAACGATTGTCACCCAAAGGCCACCCAACAACAGCTGCCCTTCTGTCCCAGATGAGCACTGTCACTAGTTGTTTTGTGAACCCAAATATTGGGCTTTTCCTATTCCCTTCCCCTTAAATTAGCAGTAGGGCCTGTTTGCAAAAAAAGTGAGCTCAAATGGGAAGACAGGCTCCACTATGGTGAGCTCTTGCAGAAGATCGGAAAGGACTTTCTTCTCAGTTCTTTCTCATTGTTCTCAGTGCACAGTCCATGAGATGGAAGCCATGAAGACGATATGCCAGAGTTTCCGGGAGTATTTAGAGGAAATTGAACAGCACCTTATGGGACAGCAGGCCCTCTTTTCCAGGGACATGTCAGAGGAGGAAAGGTAATTACCTAAGGGAGCCATAAAAGTAAGTACCAGCCCACACACCTGGAGCAAGGAAGGTAATCAGGGCAGGACAGATGAGCACCCTGGAGCAGAGCTAATGAGAAACCGGCCAGCTTTTCCTTTGCTTTCATGGTCTTGTTCTTGCTTTCTCTGTGGGAGTCTGTGAGAGCCATTTGCTAGATAGCAATACTTATTCTTTAAGTCAAGGGCCATTGAGAAGGTCAAAAGGCAGGCAGTCAGGGACACTGCCAGCAGGATGTCTTTAATCAATGGGATGGGGCTCGTGCAAATGCAAATGTGAGGAGTTATAAGAGTTTTGAAAATCTGCATTATTTTCACATAGATTGAAAACACGTCCCAAAAGTAGATTCGTCATTCATTGCCTGGGGCTGGGGATGGAAATCGGGTTTAACTGTAAAGGGAGGGGCATACAGGTTCTTCTTGGGGAAAGAGAAGTGTTTTAAAACTGGATAGTGGTGATGATTACACAGTTTGGTAAATTTATTAAAAATTATTAAATTGTGCTTTTAAAACAAGGGAACTATGTTATACTGCAATAGAGTTTATTTTTTTTTAAAAGAAGACAACCTTAGTAATGTCTGCAACGGACACAAATAAAGATGACATTCTCTTTTAAGAAACTGCAAAGGAAGAACCTATATTATGAGGAGATAATGGAAGAGTGCACCTGGGAAGAATTGTTAAATTTGGTTGTTTTCTATTATTTACTTGCAGGGAGGAGGCCGAGCAACTGCAAACATTACGTGAGGCCCTGAGGCAGCAGGTGGCAGAGTTGGAATTTCAGTTAGGAGACCGGGCTCAGCAAATCAGAGAAGGGATTTTACTGGTATGGGTGATGGGGTGTGGAGTTTGACTGTATCCAGCCTACCACAGGAGAGGTGCCTTAAATGAGAAACCCGATTGTGCAATCATTTCAGAATCTAGGTTTACATGCCAATGCCTTCATTTTAAGTATACAGAGAAGTACTTTGGTTTGCTCAAGGGTCCACAGCCAGCTGATGGTGATTCTGCATCAGAATTCCATTCACCTGTCGTGCCAATCTTCCCCCTGCCCTGTGCATCATACAGAAGTCTTATTAGCCCATTTTCCAAATAAGAATAAGAATCACAGGCACAGTGAAGCTCATCTTTGGGGCCAATATAAGCTAAGTCACTATCAGAATCTGCTGCTGGCTCGAAGAGCCCATTCTAGAGAATTGACCACCTCATAATGCCTAGCTCACAAGTATAAGTAAGCTGTTTGGTGCCAATGGGATGTGCTGTTTACTCTTTTCCCTCTTGTTTTCCTTTTAGCAGCTGGAGGTTCTCACAGCAGAGCCACCTGAACACTACTCAAATCTGCATCAATATAACTGGATAGAAGAAAGCAATGGCCAGACTTCATCTTCTAAAATTCACCCAGGCATGGTCCCAAGGACTGACTGTCTTTCCTCCCAGTGATGGCCAGCAGGCTCCCTGTTCAGGTGGGACCCAGTTGGCTGCCTTCACTCCACCCACCTTGGAGAACAGCACCAGGATGTCTCCTTCATCATCAGCTTGTACAAAGTTAGGTCCAACCCCTTTGTCAAATTGTCCTGTTGGAGAAAAGGATACAGATGTCTTCCTCTAGATCAGAGCAGGTTTGATAACCTTCATACAAAATGTAAAGGTCCAGAACAGATGTAGCAAGGACATTTCAATTTTCCCCAAGGAGAAGGGTCTGCCAACCCATTGTCAGCTATAGCTTTCATATTCTACCCTATGGTTAAACCCAAGAGAAGTTTAGAATACTTTAATATTCATTCAATATAGAATAACTGATCACCTAGTCTGTGCCTGGCACAGAGTATGCAGCAATGACTAAGTAGTATATGGTCTCTGCCCTGCTGGAACTTACAGTGTGGTGGGGGAGATAGAATTGCAAACAAAAAGTATCTGAGATAGACCTTAGTCAATGTAGACGTTTATTTTGCCAAGGTTAAGGATATACACCCAGAAGACAGGTCTGTGCCTTTCTCCAAAGATGATTTTGAGGACTTCAGCATTTAGCAGGGAAAGAGCCGCTAATGGGGAAAGAGGAAGACATTTTTAAAAGGTGTGGGTACATAAGAGGCAAACAGTCGCCTTCTTTTGGGTCTGATCAGCTTTTCTCTATGCGAGAGGGGGAAGAGGAACAGTCACTTATGCATTCATCTAGCTCAGAGGATCTGTGCTTTTACAGAAGGTAAAATAAACATAGGGCAGAGGAAGCAATCAGATATGCATTTGTCTCGGGGGAGCAGAGGGATGGCTTTGAGTCCTGTTCTTTGTCCTGCACTTGTGAAGAGAAGCTATCAGTGTACTTTGTCAGGTTAAAATTCAACAGAACTGTTTTAGACTAAAGATTTTAGGGCCCACAAGGAATTTCCCAGTGGGCAAATTGTGAGGGAGGTATGTAGCTTTTTAAAAAATCTTTGTAGCTATCTCATTTAGAAATGAAATGGGAGGCAGGTTGCCTGATGCAGCTCCCAGCTTGACTTTTCCCTTTTACTTCATAATTTTGGGGTCCTGAGGTTTATTTTCCTTTCACAGAATATAACATGTACATACATTTATTATTAAAAACTCTGAAGGAAATAACAAGGTTTTATGAAAGACAACACAGAAGGGAGCCCCACTAAATCTCCCCAACATTAAAGGGAGATTAATGTTAATCTAACATTAACATTTAGATTAATGTTCAGACAGCCCTGGTTGAGGAAGTAACAACAGAAGAAGGAAGGAGGATCCAGGCCTCAGAGGTACCAGACTGTCCTAAACCCTCCAGTCAGGTAGCCGGTGGGAGTACCGATGAAGCACCTACTGTGTGCAGACCACTTTTCTAGTGCTGGAGACAGTCATAAATAAGACAGATGGACTTTCTACTCAGAAAGAGTTGGATGAAGAGTAAGACCGAAAACAAACAAACAAACAACAAAACCCAACAAGCAAATAATTACAATCCTGAAAAGAGCCTCAGAAGACAGTGTGATAATGTTGCAAAGGGAGATGTGGCGTGAAACTGTACTGCATTTGTCAGGGTGCTTGTGGAAGGGGAGGCTATTTGGGTAAGACCTGAATGGTGAGGAAATGGAAGCCAAGTGCAATTTCGCAAAAGAACATTCAAAGCAGAAGCAATGGAAAGTTAACAGGCCACCAGATGTAGAGACAGCCAGTGCTGCTGAGTGTGGTGGGGCATGGGGATGGAGGGAGGGAAAGGCTGAGAGGGGGTCGGGCAGACTCTAGGCCATGGCCAAGTCTTTGCACCTGAATCCTTTTTCCAAGGGTAATGGAAAGCCACTGTAGGTTTTCAGCAGGGTCATCATATAATCTGATTTATGTTTTAAAGTCATGCTGGCTGCTTTATGGAGAAAGCATCCCTGGGGGCCTAAAGCGAGGCAGAGTGCCCAGCTAGGAGGCTGTTGCTGTCATCCCCGAGGTGAGAAGCAAATGTCCTCAAGTTGCTCCTATCCAGCCTTGGAAGTTTGTGAGGCTCCCACCCCAGTGGAAATGCAGGGAATGGCATACAAAGGCCAGAGGCACTGGGTCTCTAAGGAATGGGGAATAGATGCAGAATGGAATAGTCAGGAAAAGTTGCTGGGAAAACTAATGCCATGAGGGAAGTTTATAATTTGTATGAAAAGACGGTCAAAGGAGAGGTCACTTCCTAGCAAGTAACCTCAGAAACTAATTCTATTGAAACCACCCACTACTCAAAACCATCTCACGTCCTGTTTGTACTCTTCCTCTTCCTTGCTTTTTGGAAAGTCTTTGACTCAGTGGGGCCTTCCTACCCTTGGGACACCACACTGTTTTATCCATGGACTTACATCTTCAGAGTGTGGACATCCCCGTTCTGTCCTGAATTCTTTTCTTTCTCCATTCCTCTGTCCTCAGCATACACACAGACTCTCCAAGCATCTATGAGCCTGATTCCCAGCTCTCTCCAGTATGCCAGCCCAGCATTTCCTACTGTCCACGTGACATTTTGACATGGAAGACTTGGCTGTATGTCTCACTCGTAGCTAAAGCTGACCTGGTCATTGCCCTGACTCAGTTCATCTTCCTGATCCTCTCTGTCAGCGGCACAGCCTTTCTCCTTGCTGCAGGCTCAGTGCCACAGTGTGCATGGTCTCCTGCCCCTCTACCCTGCCCTGCTCAGTTGGTCAATGACCACACCAGTGCTGGGTGTACTACCAAAAACTACCTCCCAGAAGTCCCCCGAGAACCAATTACCTGGCGACAGCGCAACATAGGTGCCGCCTAACAGCTTCCAGCCGCTTTCTCTCCAAACTGCACTGGCCTCTGCCAGATTGGGCTCCCTTAGCCACCAAGTGGGTCATATTTCCCGGACCTACAGTGAATACCCAGAAAGTACTTTTAGAATATCCCAGAGAATGAGAGAGAAATCACAGGATCATACTTCCCAGAGCAGCCTTCCACCAGAAATGAAAGTCCAGGCCCTGGAGGAGTTATGCCCCTCTCCTCGCCTCCCACTGCCTCATTCCTTTTTGCCACATCCCCATCTTGGCTCCTGTGTCATGGCTCAGCTTCCAGCCAAATTGACTCCTGATGCATTGCGTTTCTGCCTCCAAATCGTTTCCCTTGCTAAACTCCTAAGCTTTTTACTCTTTACCCAGATCTGGCTTTTGACCTCCCCTTCTCCATGTAAACTCCAAGCTCTCATGCAGTTTATCCCTTGCTCCTTCCCTGTAATGCCTACGGAATGAAAAGGAACACCTGGCTCTGGGATGTCCCTCACCTGGCAGCCACCTGCTTTACCAGTCTCATTTCCTGCTCTGCCCTCAGATGAATCTCCAATTCTATTCCCCTAAACCACCTCGTGTGTTCCTGCTCCCTCTCCTTTGCTGAAACAAATGAAGTATCTCACCAGTAAGTCCTAGCACAGACCCCATCTCCTGCACAGGCTTTCCTTGATGATCTGTGGCAGAAGCGATCCTTATTTTTTGAAACTCCTATATCACTTTGCTTTTTTGTTAGGACACTGAAAACCTCCTGTCTTGTGTTACCATTATCTGTGTAGGTCATATCTTCCCCAGTAAACTTAAAGCTACTTGAGGACTGTGTAGCACCCAATACCCTGTGTTTAAGAGAGACTATCTGGATGAAAGTACAGACTCCTTTCTTTATCATGTGTGATCTCGGGCACTTGCTCTCTCTACCCTAGTTTCTTCCTCTGTGAAATAGGGAGAAGAAAAACAACACAGAGTTGTTGGACAGAATAAATACAGTGAATCCCGTGCAGTATTTAATCCAATGTCCATCACATAGTAAATGCTCAATGCGTGTTGGCTGTTATTACAAGTGCACATACCAAGAACTCAATAAATGCTAACTGTAATTACTGTCTTCCTTCTGTTGAAAAGAACTCTGTTAGCAAAGTACTTTGTGCACAAAGAATATTACCTACTGCTTGATGAATGAATGAGATGAGGATAAATTATCAGTCTCAGGAGACAATGAAGAGAATGAATTGGCTATGGTAGAAGCACGGTTGTATGTTGTAGAAGGAACTGAGTTTAGATTGTAAAAAGGGACTTATTTGTGGATGGTTTTGATGTCAGAAAGATGACTTCATATGTGATGGAGGAGGGAAAAGACCATTTTTATCTTCTGATGAAGAGTAGCAAATGGAACAAAGGTCTCCAAACATTTCATGGTATTTCCTGGTTTACTCTCCTAATTCTCCAAAAAAGAGCACAGAAGGGAAATCAAAATGTAGAGAGGCTGCTCTATCCCACCCAGGACCTTTGCTATCTTCAGTGCATGACAAACAATGTTTGCTGATGCTGCGTCCAAATGCCACCCCCGATTCTCAGGCCTTCATGCTCAGACTGAATTATACCACTGGCTTTCCTGATTTGTGTAATAAATGTGTGTGTACACACACACACTCTATATACATATATGTACACACACACACTATATATACATATACACACATACACACATATATATACACACACACATATATGCATACACATATAAATATGTATGTGTATATATCTCTATGTGCAGGCACACACATGCACACACACACACAAAACCTACTGGTTCTGTTTCCCTGGGAAACTCTGACTAATACAGTAAGGAAGAGCTAAGATATAGGGAGACTATCCTACAAAAATACATACTGAGTCCTGCTGTTTATTACTAACAAGAAGCAACTGAGCTCTGGGGTTAAATTCAGGATTTGGGGCTTAAATCCAACTCCATTACTTATTATTTGTCTTGGATAAAGTATGTAACTTCCCTAAGCCTCAGTGTCATCATCTGTAATTTAACAGAGTTAGTGTATACAGAGCCCTTTACAGCAAGCCTGGAACATGGTTAGTGCTTAGCAAATGGTAGTACTATGATGGTTAGGATGGTGATGATAGTAACAAGAGTAGTAACAATTTCTTGAATGTCTACCTACAGGCAAGGGACAGGGCTAAGTGCCTTATTTGCATTATCACTTATCTTCACAACAATCCTGAAAAGTGGAAATTAATCTACCCACACATGCACTCACACATACATACACGCACACTCATTCAAAAAGACTGTAAGTTGTCTAAGCTCTGGCAACTATTAAGGGATTGAGTTGAC